AAGTTGTTTTCCAAAGTGCTTTCGTTGATCAGATCGACTTTGGGATTTGACAGGTAAGAGTAATAATTGTTTTAGTATATAATCCTATGTTTATTGCATAAACAAACTGTTGCGTTAAATGCGAGATGTCGTATACCAAAACCATACTGTAGTGAGTATAACTGGGATGTTGTGTGTTATGTGATTCCTCCGTTGCGCGGTGGAAACCGCCAGAGAAGATGTGACTGCATTTTCCACCTCACTGAGAAAAACTATGAGCGGACTAAACCTCATAGAGCCGTTACCTGGAACCCAATTCGACCGGGGTGAAGGGCAAACCGACGTCTTGTCCAAAACGTTTGACAAGCGTAGACTGTAGCCAAGGCAATTTGCCAAGATCGAATGAAATGACAAGAAACAAAATTGTCCCGCCCCATTTTCAGTCACATGTCTGCAGTTCCGGTTCGACTGTAGCACGACTTCAACGGTGATCGAATGTCACCTAAGAGACCAAAAGCGCCCATCTGGGAAACAACAGCTCATATGGGGTGATGAGTTAAAAAAACAGATATGGAAGCCTGTTACGACAAACACCATGAGACAGACCAACATGGGCATAAGGACTTGGAAGAGGTGATCCGCGCCAATTGACAAAGAATGATCGGTCAATTTTTGTTGTTGTATTATAATATTTAGAGCAAACTCTTCAGATCTTCGACTTAGGCAATAATTAATTTTCTTTAAATCCTGATCGTCACCAAATGACATAAATGACGCTTTTGCTTCACTTTATATAACTCATTATATAATCATTTTAAGGACCTTCCATTTCTTCTACCCATGAGGCTTCGACTTTCATTTAGAGAATATTTTTCATTTGCAGATGCGGTATGATACGGCCTAATGTTATCTTTGGGAAATGTTACGAACAATGACCCTGAATCCTTCTGTGCGGATTTATGGTTACAGCATTATACCCTAGAGAGAAACGGGTTTATCTGAATGCCATAAAATACGGTTTATCGACAGCTGCTTATCATTAACTCGCTAAAGAATCGATTAGGTTTTATCGAAACTTTTCCTGGTTGAGAAAAGTGCCTGAACATGTTTCCACTCGGTTGTGTTCGGGTCCACTCGGTTTGACTCTAGTTGTTTCTTGCCTCACCCATGAAGACAGTCTTAAAGTATTTGAGTCGTTTCTTGCTTGGATTACCGGTCGCAGGATGTAACAGTTATGGCGGATGTTTAGCTTGCGGATACCAATGCAGTCGTGGTACCGCAATTTCAAGGTCGTCATTGCAGACCTTTCAGAAGAGGGCGAAACCGTCACTGAGGAAGAAATGAATTTTCTGCTCCGTTCCACGGATCCGCTGCAGAGGAAAACGGCATATGCTTTCGCAACGCGATGGAACAACACCGTTCTGCTTTGGCGGTCCGGCGAGGAGTCTGACGTGAATCTGCCAAGCTTCTCGTTGAAACGCTTTCTACTTCTTTCGCACGCCGTAAAACAGACAGCTGATTTTTCGTCTATGGTAAAAGTTCACAGTATTCTACATATTAAATCATGCAATCATAATATTAATCAATCATTTCAGTACCACGAGAACAACGCTTTCGTTCTTCTAGACAAAATACTGGCCGAAGCAGAGAAGTTGCTGCCTGTGTCAGCGGTAAGTGAGCACATAATTCACTTGTCGGGTTGTGTCGAAACAGACCATCCAAACATTTCAACGTTTCAGCAATTCCAGACCAGATGTTCGCTTACACACAATCGTGCATTCTCAAAAATTCCTTGATTGCATATAATGTAGGTCAATAGTTGTTGACCCGTCGACATCATTTACATAACTTCAACACAATGGTGTCCTTTTTCTTGTGTGATTTGTTTTCAATTTCATTTTACGCTTATTTACCATGGAGAACGCTGCAAGGGGCATACCAATACACTTAATTATACATGAAAGTAGGAAAATATGTTTGAGTAGTGTTCATCTAAAACCTCCTCAACAGTACTGTAGTCCTTTCCCACGGTAAATATCCGTTTTCTGTAAAGCTTACAACTTACAAGAAACGTAATTAAAGGCGTTTATTAGAAAGTCACTTTGGAACAAGTTCTGAAGTGTTCTACAGCTGCTGCAGACACTCTGTTGTAATATGGTCACCGGCTTAGCCATCTGCTTCGCTCTCACGTTTAGGCCAGTCTCTGCCATTAAAATACATGTCTTACTGTCATTTAAACCTCTGAGCATGAAGCGGATGGCTGATCTTCAGGTTTTCATCACATGAAATGAAGCTCTTACCGGTTGTCACCATTGTCATCATTTACGGCTCCCTCGAATGCATTTTAGATCTGATTTAAAACAACATAGCCATCGTCTTCGTAAGGTGAGTATTTCCCTAAGAGACTCTTAAATTCATTCAACATCAGGGCATATTCTGTCCTCCTCGTTAACGTAATGCCAAGTGAACTATAGCTGTTTAAATGCTAGCTAAATGAATTGTAAAACTAAGCAATATTGTAGATTCATCATGAATTTGACCCACCCCATTAAAAAATTTATTGTATTTTTGAAGCTATGGTTTTTGACCCAATGGTATCATGACGAGTCAGTGCTAAGCCGCCTAAAATTGGTCTAATGAAAGTCTATAAGTCGTGTTCAGTGAGACTACACCTACTGCATCAACATGATCATATTCGAATGGAAGGAAGCATCGATTTTGTTCCTTGTTTCAATAAGAGTTCATGGTATTCGTTTTTCAGTTCTTGGTTCAAGGTAACAATTATGGAACACTATACTAAATGCTTTATTTACCAACATGCCGCACACCACCTTTACTATTAGGACAATAATATTCAAATGAAGCAACACAATGTCCTGAGGCACTAATGTAAAATATGAAATAAAGCGCGGTTTGTTCCATAAATTTTTTTCTAACAAGCTGGCTAATGATATTCCAGATTTCCTTTTTAAAACCTTGTTCATTCGCTCATTTTCAAAAGAAAATAAATTTTTCAGAAAAAAGAAATGTCCTTTGGACAAAGCATGGGAGACGATCCTGACATTTTCTATTTTCCATTTCCTCAGGGTTGCTAGGCATTCCGCAACTTCTTTTTTCTATATTTATATGATTTTTCCGATTTAAATCTGTTTTCGCAATCGATCTCCTTCACCTCTTCGATTGATGAAGTTTCTGGAAGGTCTACGAACTACGCACTTTCTAATAGGTTCGAAATCCTTCATTCTCCATGTGCAGTTTGATTTTGAGAGCTAAAAAATGAAGAAAACGCTACAGTGGGATTACTTTATTTTTTGACTTCATTTTAACGTTAAAAACGCCTTTCAGTAAATAACTTCTCATAAATTCTTCAATGTAGCCGTTTCAACATAAATATTTTTTGTAGATATTCAAGTTCTGTTTGGTAATCAGAATCAAAGGTACAAATTCTCAGAGACCTAAGTCTCATATTATTTAAAATATTTTTTGAACTTAACTCAAAGCAGCTGATTTGACTGATTGATTATCTTCTTTTTTGGTGGTTAATTTTTGTCTTCCTGATGTTTGTACTTCATTTTCCAAGTTTGGGAAAATCAGGGAAAT